TGAAGGCAGGCTCTGTCCCCATCCTGCAGCCATCAATAAGAAAATCTCATGTTCTCCTTTGTGACACAATCAGGAGCCCAATTCATCAGACAACAATGCACAGACTGAGGGGTTTACAGCTGCTAACTGCTGTATCACTTCAGCATCAATACCCACTGACATTCCTGCCTGCTGAGAATGGTTGGCATAGGATTACTCTTACATGGATATTCACTGGCATGAGTTTATATTGTAACAGAGCTGGAAAAAACAGAATTTCTTTTCCCATAGGCTAATTTTACATAATGACAAAGCAGTTACTGACTTCCAGCAAGAGCTACTTCAGTCACATGAAACTCTTTCAATCTCTTCTTGCTTGTAGTCCTGCCAGTTTCACTGCTCACTGTTGCACTGTTCAGTCTAATTTTACATTTTATTTTGCTAAGCAACAGCCTTCTTAAATGCCAAGGAGAACATCTGTCTTCTCTCCATCACAAAGAGACACAAAGGCATCTGTCAACACAAAGCTGTGTCAGCCAAATGCCTGCCATGTTTAATAGAAAGCTGCTTATCTTAAAACTGTTTACTCCATTTGGGGAAATACTCCGCACACAGAAATCCTTCTGAGAGTGTCTGCTATCGTGGGGAATCAAGGCTACTTTTCTAATCCAGGAAAACACAAAGCTCCAACTCCTGCTTCCCAAAGTAGTAAAATAACGTGGGTCGAGTTGCATTAATGACATGTGGCTTGTGTGTTAAAATATACACAATATACCGCTCTGATTATATTAGTTCCAGGTAGTTAAATGAAAGTATAAAAAACACAAGAATTTTTTTTTTTTTGCTTTCAGAGAAAAAAATTATTCAACTAGTTAAAAAAAAAAAATTTCTCAGCCTAAACCCAAACCTTTTCACTGGTACACTGTAGAATTCTTTTTTCCTTCTTTTTTTTTTTTTTTTTTTTTTTTTGAAGGGGAAGAGGGAGATGAAAATAATGGAAAGAAGTAACAATACTTACAGATCAAAATGAGGGCCTTTCCTTTTCCTTTCAAGTGACAAGTTCTTGAGCTTCTGCTAAAGCTACAGAAAATTTCAGCTTATTAACGTCCCCAGAAGAAAGTGTGTGTGTTCAAGGAGCACCAGAGGTGGCACAGCACTGTTATGGGGCTTAGGGCAGCAGCAAAGTCTTTTCTCTTACTTTCCCTGACGTGCCCTGAGTTAACTTGGTTTTACTTTTATCCATCACACATTTTCTCAGGGTGTGAGTAGTTACTGACATTGTTCCAGCTGCTCCAGCTTGTTATGCTTTATAGACTGATAAATAATTTCCTCTCAAGCAGGCAAGAAAGGTGAAAACCTCCTGCCACCAATCTGCCCCTTCCTACCAATGAAAATGCTGAAAGAAACTAATGGGAACAGATATCTAATTGAAGAAGATAATAATTTCTTCTCATTATTCAGAGCTGTTAAAAATAAAGTCATCCTCTGCTGTGAAGGTCTTTTTTACCTAAAAGCAAGGAAGACATTTTCTTTATTATAATAAAGATGTGGCTGGATAAATACGGGCTAAGAACCAGCTTCAGAATGATCAACCACATAAATGTAAAATGCACTTCAGCTTTTAAAGATGTTGCCTAAATCGTGCTATTTCAAAGCTTTGTTTTGCACCCTTGTCTCTCAGTTCGTGCCTTGCTAATTCAGCCTCTCTCTTTGCTGGTCTGTTCAGTGTAATGGGAGAGCTCTAAGGCAGAGCTTTCAGGTGGAGAAATGAAGAAAAACCCTCCAAAGCCACCACCCACAGAGCACGGTGGGATTCCAGGGCTCTTGGTTTAAAGATTTTCAACAGATTTCCTCACAACAAAAAATAATGCTTTTGTTGCTGCCAGGCTTACAAATAAAGCCTGTAATATGGGACAGGCTCTGACCTTTCAGGATTATGCAAAATCAGCAGCAGTAAATCAAATGGTGACTTCGCTGACATGTCTGTAACTTTTAGTGACTCATCCAACATATAAACAATTTCTACTTGGAAATACAGGAAAGAAGAATGTGGGATTCTCCTCCTGCTCTGCCCTGGTACAGATGAACTCTGGATGCAGTTATGGTTCTACCAATTCCCACAGGAAATGTGAAAAATACCTGGGCAAGGGCTGAGAATTAAAGTCAGTAGCGATCCACCCATAATAGGTCATTAAAGAAAGAGAAGCTAATGAAGGCAAGAAGAAATATTCTCCTATTTATATGAAAAGTTTGTTCCTTTTAACAGTTGCCCCATGACAGATCCCATCTTCTCTCCATTCTGTCCTTCTGTGACACACTCCCAAAGCAAGTTAGATGCATTTTCCCCTAAGACAAAAGTCAGTGTTAGCAGCAAAGCTAAATTAGCTTACACATCACTCCTCTCTCTGTAGCTCCTGCAGGATCCTTCCCTTTCTGCCATGGCACAACCAGTCCAGCTCTCAGGTGGAGCAATACAGCCTCTCACACATCCCTCCCGCCTGTGCAAAGTTGCAGTAACTGGGCAGAAAGTGCTTAAAACTAATCACTTGCCAGTGACTAGAAAAGTAAAATTTGCCCAAGGCTCCAAAATCTGCAACTGAACACATGGTTCTTTTAGCTGGCTGTTCTAAATTATAAAATAAGCTCTTCCCTTGATGGCACAGAAGTCTATATTCAGGGTGCTAATTTCCAGAGCTCAACAAAAAGAAAACTGAGGGTATCCAACCTCATGAGCTGCCCAGAATGTAACATGTGATGCTGGGGCACAGAGGCAAGGAAGTGTCACAGCTGCCACAATGGGATCCTGCTGCTGGAGCATCAACAGCATCTGGACTTTGGGACTTCTTTACACTGCTCCCCAGACATTCAAAAATTGGTTTTCTGCCTTTATAACACCAAGGAACAGATACAGACCATTGCTTTTATATTGCTTATACAAATCTCTACTGCTCTGTGGCTGTTTGCCTTGAACAGACACCCAGGCACAACAACATTAGAGTGCTGCAGTGCCTGGAGAGTTTTCTTGCCATCAGTTATTTTGACTTCTATGAACAACTGTAAGGTGGTAACACTGCTATCTCACCACAACTGTGTTACGCATTCACAGACCTCAGAAAATGTTTCACTTGAATTTTTCAGAAGCAAAATTAAAATCAAGTTATTATACATAATGACATTTGGAATTAATTCTGTCCTTGAGCCATTTAGCTTCACATTTTCATGTCTTTTTTACACAGCCACAAAACAGATGTGTTCATTTTTAAATTCAAGAAAAAAGAAAACAGATTCTTGGGAATTGACGGAACATAAAACAAAACCCCAGTGCTGGGAGACCAGCAACATTCTGAGAGTTGTGAAAGCTCTAATCTGCCCAACTAGGCAGACTGATGAAAAGCAAAGATTCTCTCCTCAGGAAACCTCCACTGCTTAACTCTGCAGCCATGATGTGGGAATTAGCTACACTATAACCTCAAAGCAAAACATTGCTTGAACTTCACATGGGATGGTGTTTAGGGAGCAAAGGGATTGTTCACTAAGATACAAGATCACATCATGAAGCTTCCAGATATATATTTATTTATTTTGCTTGTGGCTAAGAAATCTGCTTAAGCAAGTCTATTGGTCTAATTGCTCTGTAGGTACAAATTCAGAACAACATTCCTCTCCTTCCTGAGAGCACTAGAGAAGCTGGGTGACAAAAGAGGAGTAGTACTTAATCTCCATGAAAGCTGGCTGTGATCCACTGCCTGTGACCCTCTGAAACCTCACAGATACAGCAACCCACAATACTGTGGAAGCTCCACAATAGAAGAAAATTGATGCTAAGCCTCAGGAGAACTCCCCATAGATAGACAGGCCCCGGCCAGAAAAAAGGATGTGCCAAGATCTGTCAGCAGCCAAGGAGAAGAACTGAAACTCTTAGAAGGAATGTCCAATGACAATACCTCTGATGGGAAAGCTCCCAAACTGGGGCAGTCTTGGTCCATTGTTCCTAAAGCCTTAGACAGGAAGCCAGTCTCTATACAGTGTCTTTCCTGCCTCTCCTCCAGGTTCCTCTTCTGCCCCTTCATATCTCCCATCTAGAACTGGAACAAAGGAGGAAATAAAAACATTAGTATGGTAGGACAAAAGAATTGCTGGAGCTTCACTACAACAAAGATTTGGGGCAATGGGCGACGATTTCAAATCATTTCAGTTCATTTTGTTCTTCTCTCATAATGGAAGTTTTGTACTTTTTTTAGTGAAAAGTTTAACTGGAGAAAACAGCCAATGAAAACACTGTGAAAGGTTTGTAAAACACAAAGATGTCACTAACACCACAAATTACAGGTCATGGCAACTTACACTTTGTACTTAGTTCATGAACACTTCTCTGGAGTTCACTCAGGAAATGAACAAAGAAGGGTTTTTTTCTCCTCTGGAGTACATTCATAATATATAGCCAGAACTAATCAAGAAATGTTTGTTAAATAAGAAAATTTCAAAAACCCAAGTCCAATTCTTACCTGCTTAATTTAGGTGTGCACTAAAGGCAGTGCACACCTTCCTTTTGTAAATGAACCCAAACCTCTAGTTCCTGGGGACAGAAACTTTCAATGTCAGTTCAGGCCTGGGAGAACACAGCCAGTGTTATTTCCAGCCGCTCTCAGACTGGGTCGCTGAGCTCTATTACTCCATTTCCAACCATGCTAACCCAAGCTGACTGTGGATGTGAATCCCTCTGGGAGCAGCGTGTACTTGCTGTGAGACAAAGTCAAGCTTCTGGCAGGGAGATTGGTAACAAACATCACAAGACTGGTAACAAACACCACAAGCCTCAAAACCAGAAACTCCTTTTTAAAAAGTGCACTCAACTAACTTTTTCCTTTTCTGTTATTTTTTTTTTCCCCAGGAATAGCAAAGCTCTTTGGTGACTCCTCTCTATTTTAGCTGATTTATTACACGAATCCCAGCGCCCGTGCTGGGGAGCACCTCGGCCAGTACAGCCTGGCAAGGAAGTGCAAAACTGAAACAGCAAGCAGTTAAAATTTAAGAACAGATTTATTTCATCCTCTTTTACACACATAAGTTTTAGAAATACATGCTTAATGTAAGATTGTCTTTATATTCCAAAACAGACTCCTTTTAGAATTCTGAAACCCAGTTTAAGACACCATCAAAGTCTGGCTCAGAGCATCCAAATTTTGGCATCCAAAAATTGACACAAATGAATTCCACTAACCTGAGCAACTTATCCAAATTCAATTAAAAGGCATTAACAGACAATGTCAGAGGTGAGACAAAGCTTTATCACCTCTAGAACCTGTACTATTCTCTTGCCCAGCTGACTCCATGGAGATTGGTCTCACTGCACCAGGCCCTTACTCAGCAAGAGTCTCTACTGAACTAACTCAAACTGAGATTTTCTTTGGCCTCACTGGAGGCCTGGAGTACAGCCCCTCAGGCCCCTGCCTCAATCCATCTTCCCATGGATGTGACTATTATGGAGAGGACAAAGTTCCTTTAAATAATCAATGTTTTTAAAAATTCCAAACCGTGAAAGCTGGAAAATAACAATAACACTTTGGCTTACAAAATTTCTGAAGCCACAACCACCTACAACTACATCAACAAAATAATTTAAAACCAGGATTTTGGTCATATTCTGAAACATGTTCTGCTGCACGTCCCCGTGGCATCTGTACACACGAGTGACATTTGAGTCACATTCTTTTCCAGTATCAGATATCATGAAGTTATCTATCTGAATCTCTTAATGACATTGCCAAATACTATCAACAGGAAACTAAATGAAGTAACAGACATCATCATTTTTGAAAATGAAACTAGAGTATGTCCAGCCACAGGGCAACACTGGACACACACCAGCTGACTTGCTGTCTTCCTCCCTTGAAAACCAGTGGTTAAAAGAAGTCTGTCTGGAGTTTGTAGTATTTGACTGCTAAACTCGACTGAATTCCTGTTCAACACAACAGAGTTAGCAAGTAATTGAATGCCCCAGCCCAGGATTTTGGGGAGCACTGGCCATGTGAGGGTACCAGGGGTTTGGAGAGTGTGATCAGACATCAGCTGCTCCATCATGGCTCATGGGGCAGGAGCTTTTACAGCTCCCTCATCCCAACTACTGCCCCAAGGAAAACCACAAATAGTGTTCAACTGCATGCAAGAGGCATGAAACAGCAAACGTTCTAATTAGGGGAAAACTGTCTTCATATTTGTGTGGTCAAATAATTGCAATGTTATCACTTAAAGCACTCCCAGCTTAGTGCCCATAATGATAAACAACTAGTGCTCCAATAGCCACTGGCCACTGGGTAAAACTTGAGTGAGAGTTTTTAGTTAAAAGCATGCACAAAGTAACTTAGAAAATGAAGGGCCCAGAGGAAACTCAACAGCAACTTCAGGAAGGTACGATTAAAAAAAAAAAAAAAAAAAAAAAAAGAAAGAAAGAAAATAAATTATCAGAAAGAAAGTAGAAAGAGATAATAGAACTTTCTTTTAGGACTTTGGTTTAATGTGTCATCTGAAAAATAACTTTAATGACATAGTTCTCAATAGTGCCAAATTTTGGACTGATATCATTAGAAGAAAGACCATTATCTATGGTAGCCACTGATGCCACCTCCCTGCATACATGGATGTTCTCTGAGTTTTCCCTTAAGTACAACCACAACAGCACTGCCTGCTCAGTGAGAACCCACACGATCCAAGCACAATCAAAGGCCACACCTAAAGCCTCTGCTGCACAAATTATTGTGGAGTTCCAAAATGCTACTATTTAAACAAAGGGACGGGGATCCTTTGCTCCCAACAATAAAAAATAAACCAACACTTTTACAGCCTGTACAAGAACACCATGAACACATGACCTAGACAGACATCCAACTCGTCACATTCCTCTGATGACCAGAATTCCTGACATTATTTCTCTCAGCAGTTCCCCAGCCAGGTCCTGCCTGCAGTGACGTTGCTGGGGCTCGTGGCCAAGGACACACAGCTACAGGAGCTGCCTGTGGCCCCTGCCTTCCTGCTGCCACCCCGAGTCCTGCCGGCTTCAGGGACACTCCCCACAGAACCAGAACTTACTGCAGCTCCTCCTGTTCCAGCCACGGACTTACACAGCACTGTCACTGGAAAGGAAACACTGAAATCTGCCGTGAATCTGCTGTGCTGCAGATACACACTTGCTGAGAGTCATTTCACACTCTGTAGTATGAACACATGTCTTTTGTTTCATTGCTTCCAAAAAAACAATGGAAAAGTATGCTCAGACCTTTTCCTCCCCTTGTCTCCACCCCTCCCTAAACCAGGAGTGAATTAAGACTGATTTATAACAACAGAACCTCTACGAAGGCCTAATTACAATTATTTCATTCATAAATAACTGGTATATGAATGTGGATCTCCTGTTTTAAGTAAACTTCTACATTGGCAATTTCCACAATTCAAAAGGCTAAAACGCAGTGTGGTTCCCTGGAATGGCAAGGCTGCCTTAAGTAATTAGAACCCCTAATCCCTCCCCCCGACAAAAAAACCCCTCAAAGCAAAGCTGCAAGTCCCAAAAGCGAAGCCAACAGCCTCATTTAGGAAACTGGCAATTCCACAGGAGCTGCCGGTGATGTCACGGCATTTATAGGGCGCCTGAGTCACAGGTTCCGGAGGAAGTGGCAACACCTACGGAATTACCGTATAAAAGTCAGACTTGGAAGCATGAAATGAGGACACTCACAGACAAAGGAAAAACCTCAAGTCAGATCCTCCCTATGCTAGAGGTTTCCTCGCCACTAATTGAAGTCTGTCACTAGAAATTCATTTGGGTGCTCGCTGACAGCCCTCCCTCAGCAGTGAGGACATGAGCACTGGGGGTGGGGGGAAGATACTCACAGGGACAGAAAAAAGCAGATGGAAAGGACACCAAAAACTGCCAAAAACCAGAGTCCAAATGCATTCAGTGCAGCAGAAGTGGAAGCTCTGCAGGCCTTGCTGTCCTTCCCAGCCTATTGACATGACGAGGAAACAATTCCAGCAGCATTTTTCCAGGCAGCTTTAGCCCACATTCATTTGATTTAGAAAGTAAAACCGTTCCAGCAACAAGATGCCAGCTTGTATTTCACATGCCCCAGATCCTGCAGCACAGCCTTGCCAGGATGCATCAACTGCAGCTTCTTAAGAGATGAGCATCATTAGAAGACCATTAGGACCATTAGACCAAAGGAGAAATTAGGGAAAAAAACTACTGACCTTCTCTTTAAGAAGCAAACCAGAATAACGTCTCTCTTATTTCCATAGTGCATAACATTAGTAATTAATATTAGTAGTGAATTCCATTAACAAATCGAACAATGAATCATTCTGCTGAGATCTAGCAAAAATCAAATGTCCTGGTGCCAAAAAGAAAACTGAAGTTACACACAAGCCTGGATTTTTGGATGCTTGAGGGCAACTGAAGCAGCAATTTACAGCCAAGGAATGTAAGAACAAAGAGTAACTGGATGGGAGAGAAGTTACAAGGACTGATTTTTTAAAAATTGTGCTTTTCATTTGCAGCAGTACAGTGCTGTGCATATGCTTCTGTCCTTCCCTGTTAGCTTACCAAGATATTTTGTTGAGAACTAATTTGAAATTTTTAGCATTTAAATTGAAATGAGTGTGTGCACGTGCCTTTCAGCTCCAGAGACAGAGCCCATTGTACTTTATATTCAATGTCCTGTATAAACATCCACTCAAAGAACGTGAGGAAACAGGCATTTAGACTGCTACAGGAGATGGAAGGAGAGTGTGTGCTCTGTGCCAGCCAGGAAACAAAACATGTTTGTTTTTAGAACTCCTGATTGCCCCTTTTAGCTGTAAGCCCAAGGAAGTGCCTGCAAGAAGCTTCAATGGCAAGAGAACATTGAACAGAAAGAACCTCTGTTACTTCATTTGCAAAGTTCTGACAAATGACCGGTGGGTTTTGAAACTCTTTTCAGAAAATGTCCTAAATAACCCCACTGGATTTGAAAAAATGCTGTGGTGAAATCACAACAGGCAGATAATATTAATACTGTTATGAGGGCTGCAATCAGAACTCAAACTTATACATGGCTGGAGTAGTCATCTGCATACTTACCCTGGGGTGAGATCATCTGGGCTGGGGAATTAGGTGAAAAAATTGCTGCCCTAAGACATGGAATACCTTAAGGTACTTAACATCATTGCTGTTGGAGAGTATTGCTATTAGTTCTTTGGGGAGGAGCTTCAGTTCTTCTTCCCTGTGCCAACCTCCTTGGTCAGGTTAAAATCCTCAAGTGACTCACGCCAGAGACTTCACTACGACCTGGATAGAATTGCTGGCTGGTGGAAGAATGTGGATTTCTGACTGTCAGCTCCTGTACTGAGGAGAAATGAGCACAAGCCACAGCCCACTTGGGTTATCGTGACATGATTTGAATACTGCAAAAAAACCCCAGGTTGGAACAACAGTTTGACCCAGGATAATTGAGAATAAAACCCATAGATATTCTCTGCCAAGTACTGTCAGTAGTAGAGGACAAAAGGGTATCAATAAAAGTGAAATGCGGAAAAAAACCCAATGTCAACAAACTGTTACAGTTTGTCAAGTGCTGCACAGATAAGTAAGTGAACTTTTCAGAAATCATTACACTGGAAAGCTGAAGTGGCAATAGAGAGGGCCAGTCTAGATTATTTTCAAACCTAATGCATTACCTGTGTGGTGCCACAGTATTTTTACACACTGTTAAGGTCTAGCAGAGGTCCAGGCAGCTGCAGGGGAAGGAGAGCTGGAACTGAAATGGGACAGGTAGGCAGGTTTTTCATAGGTTAGGAATTTACACACTGCCAGGGTGGGACAGTCCAAAGTCCTTGTAGTGTAGTATTTCTGTCTTTTAAAACAATTAATCCAGGTGCTCTAAGAGAGAAAAGGTGCATAACACCCTCTTGAGGGAAAGTTTCATTCTTCTGAAACTTAGAATATGCACAAGCACAGCCTCTGCACTGAAAATTAAATTAAAAAAAAAAGAGAAAAGGAATTAATGAAGCCACATCAGAAGATTCAGAAGAAAAATAGTAACAGGCTCAAGATATCTTCCAGACTGTTACTTAGGAAGTCAGCTAAAGTTTACCATGTTGCATAAGGAACTATATAAAATAACCTCGTGGATTCTGTCACATCTCTCCAGGACTCTGTAAGAAACATGCACAGTTGTTCTTGATCACCATCAGAAAAGTTGGTATCAGCAACTCAGTGACCTCACACATTACTGGCCTTAACGAGAATTCTGGATGGCAAAGTCAAACCTCAGAATTCCACTGTTTTTACGATGTGACTTGAAAAAGTGAAAGAAAACTCAACAGGAAGTCAGGAACTGGGTGAACTCTTCATGGCCCAACATGGTCCCAGAGTAGTGCTGGGGCAACAGCTGGATTTGATGATCTTAAAGGTCTTTTCCAACCAAATGATTCTATGATTCCATCAGCAATAATAATTACATTAGTTAACATACATTTAGGAAGAATTCAGTAAGAGGGAGAAACAAGTACTATGATTCTACAGCGCAAAGTTCAGAAATACATAATACCCATTTCAGTAAAAGTTATCTATGAGAGTACAAGTGAGAAGGTAAAATAGAATGCTCATATATGGGAGAATTACTACATTTTGCTAATAATTCTGATGCATATATTTAAGGTGAACAGCCAAATTTTATACAAAGAAACAGAATTAGAATCATAGTTCTAAGGGGTTGGAAGGGATCTTAAATATCATCTAGTCCCAATCCCCCCTGTCATGGGCAGGGACATACAGGAAGTGAGATAAGAATATCAAAGATGAGAACACAGAAATTTTAGTTTGTATCACTTCTCTGAAGACACAATTTTCTCTAAAGACTTCTCTGAAGACACAGTACTGAAGCCATACAGAACACAAGGAAGGAAAAAGCATTTTTCCAAGCTCAATGATATTAAGGCCTGAGCAGTCCCTACATTTTTCTTTGACATGACAAAATACCTGTTGTGCTGTTGACTTCTACTGAAGCAGAATCTCTGTTTAGCTCTTGGGCATCATCAGCTTCCCAGGAATAGAACTCCTGTGGTCTCACTCCCTGATGACTTTCTCAACCAACCTGTCTCTGCTATCATGAATCTTTTTTCATGGACCTAAGTGAAATTTTCAAATTTGTGCCTTTTCTCCCTTACAGAGCCCAGTGTTGAAGGCTTAAGACCCAAACTAGTCACGCTCCATGAGCAGATTCTTGTGTGGGCTGAAGCAGGTACTGGTCATGATTCTCCTGGATCTAATGGTGTGGGACCATTTACACGGGACATAAAGGGCAAAGGCCTAAGGGAAATTTATTCCTGATTGACAGACTATGACACAGCAGACTGTGAAAGCAAGGATGAGAGCAAGTGGGGGCTTTAAGGAAGAAAAGTCTCACACAGAATCTCAAGTTCCTCACTTCAGTGAATGTGGCACATTCATGTAACAAAATCCAAACTCCAGCCAGCAAACACGACGAAGGGGTGACACTGAAGAAAAATTCCAGTCAGTACAAGTGTGACATCAAAACAGAGGATATAATTCCATGAGTTTCTTTAATACTCAAGTACAAAAGCGGTGTCAAGAGCTTTCCACTGAGATCTGTGCTCTTCTACTAACAGTATTAAATGGTCCCAGACGAGGTATGTAGGTGTCACAGTTCCCACCTCCACGGTCCTATAATGCCATTACATTTCTGTTAGATAGTTTAGGAAGATGAGTAGGTTCCTCTGAGGCTACTCATTCCCTCTTCCCAACAGATTTGTTTTACACCTGAAAAGCCACAGTAGCCGTTGGGTTCTTCAGCAAAAGTATGAGTTGGGGTTCTTCACTGACGTCATGGCAGCACAAATAACATTAAAATCCTACCTCCTTCATGAAGAAAGGGAAAATTTAGCTTCTTCCATTAACCAGCAATAACTGGAGCTGAGGACTGTGCTGAAATCCTGCCATAGGTGCATACAAGCCAGTAAGTAAATGTGTTTATCTGCTAATAGTATGTGAATGTGCATTCATTCATTTGAATGGATTCTCACAATTTCTCACTCAGTAAATGCCTAGAAACTGAGTAAAAGCAAAATAAGAGGAATTCTGGTCCACAAGGAGAAAGAAAACAACATTATAGTTAGAAAACGGAAGTTATTCCAAGTCCAACTGAAGTGTTTTTGAACATCAGAGACAGCTGGGGAGCATATGTGCAGGAAACAGCTCAGTCTCAGAGAGCTGTATGTTACTGAAAATACCGAGGTAAGGAAACATTACATTAACCCTGAGTTTTGAACCTTCCTGCCTTGTGCTCTTCTGCACTTAAACAGATATTTCCAATGCAAAGCTACAAGGTAACTGTAACAGGATAAGCAGAGTTTCAGACATTTAAAATAATTATTGATGTTTATCAGATTCAGCTCTCAGGTTTTAGATAACCAGATTCTGCAAAGACATTCACGCTCCAAGGGTCAGCAACTCCAAAAGACAAAAAAGCAGATTATTCCCTTTAAACTACCCGGCTACCAATCCATGGCTCCAGTTGGACAATGGCATGGATAACAACATGGGAGTCATTTGAGCTCCAAACTAATTATACAATTTAACAAACTGCTTTAAAAATTTACATGGAATGTTATCAATCTCAGTGTTCAGCGCCTGACCTCCTAAAGATCAGATTGCTATCATTACTAGCCTTTCAAAAATATATTGCATTAATATATATTTTTATATTACAATGAAGTTAATTAAACTAGACACTACACTACATGAAAAATCATGTAAATATATGAATATGATAGTTAAAATAAGTACAAATAATTGCTAATTTAGACACTTGGTGCAAACCCCAGCACGTTTCAATAAATCTTCTTTTGTGGTCAGAATATGGGAGTTGCAGATATCCTTGACCTGAATGAACTTCTGATGTGGCACAGAGAGAAGCTGTGAAATTCTCTACAAAAAATATTCAGAGTTTATTTTAAGGACCTAAATAATTGGATTGAGCAACTACTTTTCATAACATATATGGGAAACAGAGACTGCTTAACAGATAAGGCGATTTGCACTTCTTCTTAGTGAGTTAGCCCATAACCCCCACAATATAAAGCTATAAAAGAGATTTCAAATATCCTTCTAAAACCTATTCCATGTTAAAAGCAATAGATTCAATTTTGTAGTAATTTACTTTGATATTTTAAAAGTCCTTTTCCTCAAGTTATCTGTTAAACTTGAGGATTCTCAAACTACTGTTTGTGCTCAGCCATAATCTCTAGAACCATTCTTGATGCTGTAAAAATGGAAAGACTTAAATGAATAAAAAAAATAAATCTCACAATTGCTCCTTTTTAACACCTATGAAGTACTGGAGGTCCACATCCAAGAACAGCAAAGTCAGAGAACCAATTTCTTATTTCATTTAAGTATTTTTCTAGAAGTTTTGACTGAATCAGTGATCTACCCCCTAAAACACTTTTTTTTTTACTACATTAACAGAGCCTTCTCTGAACTTCAGGAAAGCTTCATCATCATAAAAATTGCATTCTGGTCTTTTCTGTGCAAAATAAGTCAAACTACATTGTTGCCATAGCATGAAATGATGAGATCTTTACAGAGAATAACACCTGCACTGACACATCAAGAACAACTGTACTCTAAATATGTGCTTGGAGACAAAAGCAATATGGTGGAAGCAGGAGGTGTGGGTTCTTCCCCACTCCCACCCTCCTTTAAAGATGAAGTTTAATTCCCAGTAGCAGAACATGCTCAGTCTTAACAACAGATTCCAACTAAAGGGGCACAAATCTGGGAAAGATGAAAAAAGACATGCTTGCTTCCACGTGTCCACTGACAAGCAAAATAAAAACTGGGACAAATAAACCTCCAAAGCTTATTTAAGCAGTGTATTTTATACGTAAGCCATATTTAGAAACTAACAAAAAAAAAAAAAAAGACCGAGTTTAAACGTAACCACACTGCTTTGGTTATTTACGAAATAAAAATGAAAACATGGAGAGTTCTGTCCATAACAGACTGCTTTTAAGGTGAAGTTATTAATGTCAAAATGTGGATTATATTTGTATTTGCAGCAGTCAGAATGGGTAAGCAATCATTAACTTGTCAGGTAACAGATAAAGGCAGGGCTGCAGTCCAGGTCATCTTCCTCCTTATCCAGCTGATTTCAGATTGTTTCATCATCACTCATGTCCCAGATCTGCAACAAAAAGGAAGTGTAATTTTAGTCTGTGGACTTGAAATATGCTTTTAATATACTTTTATAAATTCAAATTACTATTTAAATTACTTTAAAAGGAAGAATAAATAGCATTTTATGAACTGTTAACTAGCACCAATGGAGCTTTCCATAAAATTCAGTGTTCTTCTATTCTATTAACAACCTACATACCATTAATTATTTGTCATCTTGGGATATTTTTAAACATATAATTTTCAGCATTTGTCACTTCGGCTATTTGCTATTTAGAATCATTTACAGTAAGACTTAGACCAAAAACCAGACATTTTGTTTTGGTTTGTTGACTCATTGGCACATACTTAATGTGAGTAATAACTTTTAATAACCAGCGTAATCTACTAAACATTGGAGAAAAATTTCAAGACATCCCATACTTCACTTTACACTCAAATATTAATCTCATAAACAGCAGCTTAAAGACAAGAAGTTATATGGAAATTTGTACTTTTCTATTGTTTAAAAAAATTAAAAACTACACATTTTTTTCTGCAGTACAACAGGATTGTACTTTTACTTTCCAACTTGCCCTTGTTCAGTAAGAGGTTATAGATGGGGGAAAGAAATGAGTATTTGCATAGACCATCAAGGAATCTGGTACCCTTGTGAACACACTAAGGTAAATGTTCAAAATTCAGAGCAGTTCCCAGGCAGCAGATCTGAGGGAAAATACAGGGACTTGCTAGCAGAACTATTCTGAGGGGAGTAACGTATTCTGAATATATAGCACAAGCTTCTTCTTCCAGAGAAACAGGGGGGTACTTAAGAGACTATGATTTTTCGGAGGTTTAGCTCCTGGCAAATACCCTCCTTCCGCTTGGCAGGCTTAGGCTCAGGACTAACATGGGTACTCAGCTTTGAGTTGGACTTAAAAATATCATAATACTAAGTTTACAATACATAAAACTTCATCTGTGACTTGGGGCATTTCAAACTTGCCCAAATTATCTGCAATACTGCTGGAGTACCATGACAAGTCTTTCTGAGTACGAAGAATGCAATTTCTAGAGCACAGAGCTTTCAGAAGAGGAGGAAGTCCCTCACCTGACAAAAGGAGTAGCAGCCCTGTGTCCCTGGGAAAATGAAATTTAGTTAATTTGTTCCAAAACATAACTTGTGTGTTGGCATAAAATTGCCAGCTGAGTTATTCTCTCATTTTACATCCTGACCACTAAAATATATCAAAAAACCCCCCCATAACAGAATGTGAAGTTATTTAGGCTGTAAATTCTTCAGGGTACAAAGCAGTATTTTACATGTATACAGTGCCTGGGACAATGGGGCACTGTTCTCATTGCACTGGATAGACCAATAAAAAATACAAATAACCCTGTTTCTAGACAGGCAACAATGCCTATTGACCTTTAGCTTTAAGAAATCTCTTTGAGAAAACAAAGTAGTATTTCTGGAATTAAAAAACATTCTGAAAAAAGCTCTTCAAATTCAAACTTGGAAAACATAAAATCAAACATTTCGCTGCTTTGCTCCAAGCTGTGTAAAATGAAAACTCCGAATGGCGAGAGTTTCTTGATTCCTAGAAGCGTTGCAAAATGGTGGTGTAAATCCTTATGGAAAATACTGAAGGAACAGTCTGTTTACAAAAGGAAAAAAAAAGTTTTCATCCTGCCCTAGATGAGCAGCTTGGAGCTTGCCAAGGCAAACACAAATGTCCAGCTCACCAGTCAGGGTCAAGGATGTGGAAAATAAATACAAAAACCAAAATCTTTAAATAGAGTTTATGGTATGATTCAAGCCAGAGAAAAGCAGAAATCCCAATTTTAGGCAGACAGTCCCTCTCTGTCTGGCCTACTCCAATCTCCTGGAAACAAAGCCCATAGACTGCAACCTTGACAAACACATCTCAGGTACAGCAGTACAACAAATACTTTTAAAAATACACCATGAGGTGATTCAAAGGCAAAGTGAAAGGAGCCGACTGATAGCCCTAAAAAGTCTCCTTTATCTCCACAAGAGATCCCCAGGGAGTGGATCCAGCTCCTCCACTCCAAGTCGTCCCATCATCGCCCTGATCCAAGCAGTGGGGGTGAGCAGGAGAGCACACTCCCTGTTGGGTTATTTGTTTTGTAGAGAGAAAGGCTGTTCAGGTACCAGCTACATCAGTAATTCTGTGATAGGCAAATCCTTCCATGCATGAACTGGCAGCTCCATGATTCCTGCAAAGCCTGAAGAGCTGTTTTACTCTCCCTGTCTCCTGTGCAGTGCTGCTCTGTCACCCTGCCCAACCCAGCCACCAGCTCCAATGGCACTGCCAGGGCTTTTCTTGGAACTAGAGGGCACAAAGTGCTTCCCTGAGTTTGCTGGTATAGGACAGGCAACCCTTGGAGGGTCCAGGCAACCTGACAGCCCAAACACATCCATGGCCTATTAGGAATATAGGCTCATTAAAAAAAGTGGAAAGAATGACAATCAAATTCTCTCCTATCAAGCACAGCTCTTTTCTAGGAGGTTTTTAACAAAAAAAATATTTGCAAAACGACTGCAACAGATGTTCACAGGTATTTAACCACTACTCAAACATCTTGGACTGAGGAGGATTTTTTTTTTAAATGTTTGAAAACTATGCTATTATTTCACCTCCAGGACAACAGACAGTTTTATAAGACAGTTTACACTTCATCCAACTATCAGAGCAGTCAGAACCATCAAACCATAGAATGGTTTGGGTTGGAAGTGACCTTAAAGGTCATCTTGTTCCATACCCCTGCCGTGGGCAGGGACACCTTCCACTAGCCCAGGTTGCTCCAAGCCCCGTCCAACCTGGCCTTGGACACTTCCAGGACTGGGACACAGCATTGTGTGTCAAATCTTACTACGGTTCATAAAGAATGAAGTAGAGGTACCTTAGTAAATGACATGCAGAGGGAAGAGAAAACATGAAACAAAAGGGAAAAATTCAATACAGAAGTTAACAACTGCAAATTAACTTCAAGAAAAGCTACAGGGTATTGTGCAAAGGAAGTTGTGTGAGATGTCAATAGTGACAGTTGAATTATCACAGATTCTTAACTAAAAGCAACTATATGTTTCATGAAAGACATTTAAGCTATAATAGACTATGACTATGCAAAGTGAACCTTTTAAGAGGGGAAATAATGAAATACAGAAAGCCATGAAAGCTAACACCTAAAATGACTGTCATGGCAAGAATCTGATATCCAAACCAAGCTGTTAATCTGGATTTTGTTCTCATTTCTCTGTCCTGAGCACACCTGGTGAGTCAAACCCAAACGCAGCTACAGGCAACGACAGGAAAAGTTACAAAATGGGAAGATAATAAACCAGCTGTCAACCCCACCCCAGCCTGCACAAATCTGGGTGATTATCTGAATGCACCTGTTTCTTCAAATATGTGCTTTTATATTCAAAATTCTTTGTAGAAGTTCTTAAATTTCACATACAAATTATGCCTATTCAGGATAAGAGCAGAATTCCCACACTTGTTTTCTTGAAGTTACAAGCATTATTTTCCTCAGTAATGGGAAGAGTAGGGGGGGAAAAAAGCCCTGTGTATTAACTGTTCACAAATTCCCACTGACTGATTTTACACAGTTCCAGACTGTAGCGTTCAATAAATCCCACTGAACAGAGAATTTTGCATTTCTTTCATACAACAGTAACACCTGGTACCTGCAACTGAACTTCCACAACGGTTCCAAAATTGGTGTTCACCTACTGAGGCAGGTAGTGGCTTTGCATCTTAGAATTAACATATGTGATTCAAACAGATAACAACTGTTGATCTTATAAACAAACTTGCAAGAAATATAAATGCACCTTTAGGGGATTCTTAAAAGTTTCTTGCCTCCAAACTGCCAAACAAACAAACAACCCCCACACGTACTATTTTCTACGCACAACTGAGATAAATTTACATGCCCATGTACCAAAACACTCTGCTTAGTAGAATCTGGAATAGTTTTATTATGTAAACCACAGTGTTTACTACGTTAATAAATGCTTAAGATATGGTGAGGAGTAAAGAGTAAAATTCGTGGGCAAAGGTAAAGGCTGAAAATTAAATGTTACATCAATCAAACAGCACAGCTGAGTATCACGAGAACACATGGCTTCCCAGATCAATTAAGGCTTATCAAATCTTAGTTTGTGATTTAGAAACAAACAGGAAATTTAATGAAAAAAAGAATATATTTGAGCATCTGTTTAAATTTAAAGCAACTAAATTATTTTATAGCTATAAAATGTGAGCTTTTTGATAGATATGAGGTTAAACATGTTCTTGTTCTATGCTCTACCAAAAAGACAATACATCAGAACTTTGGGCAGCCTGAATTACTTTACATCTTATGCATGGGTGGTTAAATGTACTTGTACTAGAAACGAACTGCACAGAGCAGGCTGCACGAACACACCTCACGTGACCTGTTCCATGTTCTTCTTGGTCTACTGGCTGCATCTTTCAGGAATGCCCAAAAAATGAAATTGCACCTTGAAATTCATTAAATACCTGCAGGTTCTAACCTGCAACTTTTTCAGACTTTACAGTATAGACCGAGGGGGATAATTATGAAGTTCAGCACGCTCCTTTCATCTTGGGCTGCACAGTGAGCATCACCCTTCATCTTGCCGAAAACCAAAACACTTCAAGCATTTTGCATATTCAACAATTCCTTCCCCATCCCCCTTTCCCACAGGAAAAAAAAAAAAAGGCCATAAATGAACAAACAACATGAAGAGTGCTCTAGACCAACAGGAACATTTTCCTTTGTTCAGAATTTAGACCTGGCTGCATGTCAGAGCCTGCTCAGGTTGTCAGAATGTACTGACTCCACGGTCAGGTACATTCGCTGTCTAAGAACCAAAGGGATGCACTTAAAACAAGGATCCACCTGTGCTCCCAGTGCAAGACCTTATCCTACAACTATCACAGTAGTTCCCCCATGTTTGTTTTTTTCAGAACTGGTTTCTAACTTTGTATAATTAAACTACAGCTAGAGTCAGCTTTGGCTATAATCTGAAGAACTATCCATGAGATACTTTTTACTTCCGTTGACACACAAATTGCAAACTTAAATGCACAGAAACAAATTAAACAAAAAAAAAAGTCAAAGTCAAGGACTAGAAAAACTGCATTTCTTTCTTCAAGCTGCTTTATTCAAATATCAGGTAGAGAAAAGAGTGGATAATTTCTCCAGATCCCTTTACACAATGGTCCTATCCTAGCTAGTTGACCTGGCTGCCAAATTCCTGGCATTCCTAGTACCTCCACAAGGTCTGTTTTTCTGTCTCTGCCATCAAAGGCTTTCCTGTCTGAATGGTTTACTATCTTGCAATAAAATCAAATCCATCAACTTCATATCTTTTTTTTTTTCAATGATGGTGCCCCTGACTGATGTTTGATTTACCCTTACAGTCTTTCCAAAATTCTAAACTTTCAGCCCATAACCACAGCTTATCAAGGTGTTGGGGCATTCTCATTTTGATCTCAACCAATAGCAACAATTCTTCAAGTTCCTCTTGCATGCAATTTTTTTTAACAGATGTACAATACTTGGAATCACAGAATGGTTTGGGTTGGAAGGGACCTTAAAAACTTCGTTCCAGCCCTCTGCCGTGGGCAGAGACACCCTCCAGTAGATCAGGTTACTCAGAGCTCCATCCATGAGTGGTCTCATACAAAACTCAAGTGTTACCCTCTCAAAACAACCCTCCTGATTTCTATCCTGGAAGCTGCAGTTTGCTTAGGAATCCTGACATTGCCCTCCAAGACATTTCCTTGCTTTCTTGCTTCCTCTGATGTTCCCCATTCTATCAATGCCTTGAGGTTTATTTGCTGTCCCTTTACTCTTTATCCATTTTTGTATCCTTTTTATCCAGCACCAGTTTTCCAGGAGCCTGGGAAAGAGGGATCAAAGTCTTTCTCTGAAAATATCCTTTTCCAAGATGGGTTTTGTGTGACCCACCTACATTTGAGCAACAGGTGGGCAAAAGGCAGATGCAGAAAGCTCCTGAGCACCCGAGTTTAGCTCACACACCCGAAACCAGACCTTTGCCTAAATATCTTATAGAACTAGCATCTCAAGGTACCAAACACTTTGAAAGCTATTTTTAAGAACAAACCGAAAAAAGGTAAGTAAACAGTAAAGAAAGTATTCATTTACAAATAAACTTTTAGCTAGAAAGCCTTTTTCATATCTCCAGTAATACATTCCAAACAGATACACAAATAACAGCACTAGATAGTATTTAGTCCCTTCTAGTTTTATTGCAGCTTTCCCAGATATTCATCCGAATATTATATGAAAACATTCATTAAAAGAATTTTGTTTGAACATGACTAACAGTTAACGAAACAATACAACAAAAAAACATAAAAAAAAATGTTTTTTCTGGTATAAGAATGGCTCAGACACACTTCCTTCCATTGTTCCTTGTTTTACAAGGAAAAAAAGAAAAAAAAAACCAGAAGCAGCAAACACAAAAACAATTTCTCTCACCTTAAAGTGCTTTAGAGCTGAAAAGGCCATTTTCAGGGCACAGCACTTGAGTTGTTGGAATGACTGTACCTAAGAGGATAGTTTCTACTATTCAGTCTTTTCTTCAGGCTCTTAAAAACTGAAAACAAACTAGTGTGAAAACAAACACACCCCCACAAGCACTTTTGATGATTGCCATTATTTTATTTTGTGTAGGATTTTAAACTTCATTTTACTACCACCAAAAGGCAACTATCCAAAAAGAACAGTTGTTTGAAGGAAGCCACAATTAATGTAAATACTGTCATAGTAATGATTAGATCTGACATAAACCCTTTGACTGAAATGAAAACTAAACATTATAGTATATAAAAGTATACATTCAAATTCTTCTATCATCTTCCTCCTTTGATGTGTCCAGGTTTTCCATTAAAAATAAAGCTGTGTGTAAGTCTATTTTCATCACATTTATAAACCCTGCAAAAAAACTGACAATGTACACGTAAAGGCACATATACTTTTAAGGGTTGTGCACCCTTGTACAGGAAATCTGGACTGTAAACATAAATGGATCTTTCACAACAATTAACACAATTTATACACCTGAGTCTATGCCATTCCAACTGCACAGACTTTATTTGTTCTGCTGTAAATCAATAGCTTGCCATGTTCCACTGCATCTTTTTAATTCACAGGTGATGCAGAACTGCTGTCTAAGGCCTGTAAATGAGCTCTCAGGTCACCCACAATCAAACAGTTGATAGTTACTGATTAAAAATAAGCAGCAGTTTACCTACAGGAACTTTTCAAGTGAATTGCAGAAATAATTCAGAAACAATAAAGAGATTATAGAACATGGTATTTAAGGTACACTTAAAGGTACACACAGTGTTCTAACACAGGATCACAGAATCAGAGACCAAGCTCAACTGGAGGGTACTTCTGGAAATCATTTTGGCCATCCCTTCCCTCAAAGCAGGACCAACTAAATCAAGTTGCTCAGGGTCCTGTGAATAGAATCACCATAGATTCATAGAATGGTTTGTTCAGCTGAATGTTAAATATCTCTGTGATTTCACAGTCTCTCTAAAAATCCTGCTCCAGTGTTTTACTTTATATCCAAGCATAAGATTAAATCATCTCTTGAAACAAGGATCGTTTTTGTCAGATTAGCCCATACCCACCACATATCCATAAATACGTCCTCCTCCTCCTCCTCCTCCTCCTCGTCCTCCTCCTCCTGCTTCTTTATAGCCCCTGCCCATAGCTGACAGAGCAACACCTTCCTGGCAGGAACAGCACTACTTCCAGTCTTTCCAATCTACTTCCAGTCTTTCCAACAGCTTAAAGCTGCTGAGCTATAAAGGCACAGTTCTATTCACCCAAAAACCAGATAACCCTTATATTCAAAAGCAACTCCAATCGTAACCATCTGACTGGTCAGACAGAGGACACACTGCTGGAGGTGAGCTCTGACGGCCTGTGTGAACATCCATCATCCCACCACTCTTCATGGAGACAGATTTTGGGTGGGAGAAGGAACTAAGATCGGCCTTTGTAGATCATATCACAAAAGGAGACTGCCAGATGAATACCCTCCAGAACTGGGAAAATCTCCCTCTTCTTTTCAAAAAAAACCCCCAAATTCTAGAAGAACAAAAAAGGTCAACAGAAATCCTTGAAGCTGTACTGAGTGATTAAAGAGCACAGAACATTTTCAGAGGAGACAGAGAATCCCATAACAATAAAAAGTATTATTGGAACGTCCCCTAACTCAGACACGGGTCACATTTCAATCCTACACCTATGGCATGTTCCTGTTGGATCAACCACACTGCACCTTCACAAAGTGTAGCTGGCAAAGGCAAGCAAGATATGCATTATTCCAATAATAGGGATCCTTTCCAGCTCAATTCCCATTATCAGAAAATAACATTTCGCAGAAAAAGCCAACACATTTCCCACATGCCGTTATGTCATCTTACATGTGTATTTTGTACACATCTTTACCGTAAACAGACCCTCTCCTGCACTGTCTGCAACACATAAGTAATAAAAAACTTGAAAAGCCATCAAAATATTAATTCATTAAAGTTTTGATATATCCAGTGACCTCACTAATCTCATCATTGCGTCCATGGAGATACTTGTGGTGTATACACAATATTTCTATCTTGTGGAGGAGGCATCCAGAAGTTATGGAAAACTTTCTCCTCTCTCCTCTTACGCAGAAAGAATGCTTTTCATATAGTTAGAAAAATAATCTCGGAAGACACAAGTTGAAACTAAATGAATAAAGGAACATGGTTGGCAGTACTAAATGCACAAAAGATAACGGAATATCAGATTTATTTCATGTTATATAGTTCAAAAACTTGGGAAAGATAAATACTTTATACAGTATTATTGTATATTTTATAGATTATTTTAATGAATGCTTTATTAAAATAAATATTTATTAAAATATTACATGCCAGTTTCCCCTATGATTATTATTATAATAATACCTGTCACTTTCCCCATTACGTTTATCAAATAATATAAAAATAAATATTACCCAGAAAAGCATTGGTATAAAAGCACAAGTAGGACAAAATTTAGTTATTACAGGTAAGGTAATGATGTTCTAGAAATACAGCAGGCAGATCAGATTTAAGGTTTAGTTTTGTTTCAAATGGACAGAAAACTAACATGAAAAAGCAGAAGGTGCATCAGCAGTAACAGACCCCTACAAGCACATTTGCTATGCCCATACATTAACAATTTTCTAAATAAAAGAGGCAGCCTCAGCTTCACTCAAACCTCATGCAGTGACTCAGGTAACAGTGCTTCAATTCTACTCAGATTCAGCTGAAAACTTGTCCAAGTGTCAGATTTATTTCTGTAAAACTTCCATTAATACAGAAACAACCGAACAAACAAGAATTCTGATGATCCTGTGCAGACATTTTGGGCTTGGAGGGGCTTGCATGACTCTGGATTCTGTAAGCCTTTTTCAAAATTGCTTTGAAATTGCTTTCGACCAAAGAATTTCAAAATCTGTTGGACTAGCAGATGGTTTGCAAACAGTTGTGTCCTAACTATCAAGTCTCCTTATTTAATTCCCTCATATTCCCCTCCTTTATCTGTCCTGCTGGACGTGCTGTAACAAAGTGGAAGCCCACTTGCTCTGCTGTTGGCTTTCATTCCCAGTAAGAAAGCAATCTTTTAAAAAGCTGCTTATGGTGGGTGAACCTTTTTGCAGACTGGTAGCACAAAGTTGTCAGAAGACAGCACGACCAGCAATTGGTTTCTTAGAGTGCAGCAAATTCTTGACCAATTCCAAATCCCACCCACTCTGTTGCACTTCATAATTTGTAACCCAGTGCTTTGAAAAAGAAGAGAAATACACATAGGCCCCTGCAAACTAGTCTATCTGGTGCAAACCAATCCTGTTATTTCAAGTCCAGTCAGGATTAGCAAAGCCCTGTTGCAGCACTTCCCTGGTGTCACAGGAACAGGAGGCACATCATGGAGCTCTGGAATGCTGGGGACATGGCAGATGTGCTAGAGCAAAGCTTACAAGCCAAACAGCTTGTTTTGGCTAAGAATCCTCTTTCCCCCCACTATGGGATTACTTTGATCTTTTTGCCTATTATTGGACTGTAACTATACTGAGTTTATGGGATCAACGGGACTGCAGAAAGAACGCATTAATCCAACCCTGAGTAACAGACTGAGAAGCTACTTTTAAAAACTTGATTGCAGGCAGCCAATATTAGTTAGTTTGTTTCCAAAATGGGAATAGAAACCAAGGCTGTTGAAGGAATTTTCCGTAAAATTCACCTTAAAACAAGCAACAGATCTCCTGCACTACGAAAACATACTTTACTTCTTTGTGGCACTAAATTTACATTATCTTAAATATCTCTTTTTTTTTCCATTTCACCACCTCCTCTTCTTCCCAAACAAAATACTGGAATACACCTATGAGGTTGTTCTGCATAATTGTGAACAATTAAGTGTTTTAATTCAAACAGAGAATGGTCAAATACTGCAGGGTCCTCAGGGATATCCTCTCATGCTGTGATTCCCACAGGCTGCACGAGCCTTGCCATGTCTCAGCATCCAGCAGACACACCCCAGAGCACCCTGCCCCAGCACAACTGCCATTCCATCGGGCTGTGCTCTCCCTTTGGTGCCAAGAGGAGCAGAATCAAGGAGCACTTGGACAACACGCCACAAGTGACACCTTTGTGGACAATATTCAAAGCTGAGGTCATATTCATTTATAAACATTTTAAATCATATTACACTCCTGGAATCACAGAATCACAGAATTGTTTGGGTTGAAAAGGACCTTAAAGATCCAGTTCCACTCCCTGCCACGGGCAGGGACACCTTTCACTAGACCAGGTTGCTCCAAGCCCTGTCCAACCTGGCCTTGGACAGGCAGCCACAACCTTTTTGGGCAACTTGTTCCAGTGTTTCACCACTCTCTGAGTAAGGAATTTCTTCCTAAAGTCTAAACCAAACTTACCCTCAGTTTAAAACCATTGCCCCTTATTCTGTCACTACCTGCCCATATAAAAAGTCCCTCTCCCTCCTTTCTTTATAAGCCCTTTTAGGCACTGGAAGGGGCTCTAAAATCTCCCTGGAGCCTTCTCTTCCCCAGGCTGAACAGCCCCAGCTCTCTCAGCCTATCTCCATAGGAGAGGCGTTCCATGATTAGTGAATAAAATGATTCATTTTACTCAGTTTCTAAATCAATTCTTTAAAGAACTGATAATAAAAAGAAATTAAAAGGGACAGGTGGGCCATAAGCCGCCGCACATGCTGCGCGGGGCCCCGGGCTGCCACATGGGCTGCGCGGGGTCCCAGGTTGGTCGGAGGCCCCCGTGCCACGTGCGCTCTGCGTGCGCGCGGTTCGGCCCCCAGGCATGGCCACGGCAGGAGAAAGGAGAAAGAGGGAAAGCCTTGCCAGCGGGTACTGCACCCCTGTAGAAGAGGAGAGAGGAGCTTTGGAGCACGCAGAGGTTTGCCATTCCAGGTTTGGGGGGGCGGGGGAGGCAGAGGAGGAGAGGGGAAGGGTGTCGAGCGGGTCGCAGGGC